AAAAAAAAAAAAAAAAAAAAAAGAAGCCCAGGGCTTCAATTCAAGGTTTTACGGTACCGTAGGACAGGGCCTAGGCCTACTTACTTAGGATAGGCCTACATTGACCCTGGCTGAAACGCTGGCGGCGCACTACTTCGAGGTAAGAAAATATCCCAGTTTATTAGGGACCTAGGCCAATTGCATGTAAAATCAGAAAACTGGTTATCTTCCTTTTTGTTGTGCCAGAAATATGAAAGCTAGGCCTACATGGATCAGGAAGATGTAAAAAAAGAAAAGTCTAAGAAATTCTGTTTTTTCTATTTTTATTCAATTTTTAAATTCATTTTCGTCGTATGGAGCGATGGGGATGAAAGAACATTACCTTCAAATTTTGAATCTGACAATGCCATTTCCAGCCATCTAGAAGTGGCATAGACATAACAAAATTTGTACCACAGCCCCAACCATGGTGGGACTAAGTTGGTTTCTATTTCAAATTCCATGATTCGCCACTGTTTAATGTTGTACTTTCATGGGAATCATCTTCTATCTGTAGGCGAATTTGTTGAGATTGACAATAAGTAATATTTGGATGGGTCCGTGAAGATTTTTGCATGTCCAGAGGGGTCCACAAACACAAAAAGGTTTGGAACCACAGCCATAGAGGCCTAGATGTTTTTTAGTTTAGTAGACTGGACATAGAGTAATAAAGACTCGGTCTATGACGGTAGGCTATTGTGTACAATTTACTTTTTTTTTTTATTACTGATGAATAGGTTGTGTTGTCCGGTGACGTTGATGACCTTAAGAAAGAGAATGTCTTGTACCTGTCCAACCACCAGAGTACAATGGATTGGATCGTCGCTGACATGCTGGCCATCCGTGCCGGCTGTCTTGGAAGAATGCGATATGTCTTGAAGGATGGTCTAAAATATATGCCCTTATATGGTTTCTACTTTGGCTTGGTAAATAGAATTATTAGATTCATTGGCATTTCAACCAGTTTATAGACTTATATTGTATAAAATTATGTATATAATTTTAGTAACAGTTGTAGATAAAGCTGTATACTGTACAGCCCTTTTTTTCGCTGCCCTATATTTTCGCAATTTTACAATCTGAGATATTTCACGTCCTTTCATTTTCATGATTTTACGATTTTCGGTCGTTTATTAACATAATGCAGAAATCTACCATTATGTTCCTTTAGCCTATATATCCATTCCACACCATTTTTAGCCCGGGACCCAAATCCAAATATTTAGCACTCAGCCGCGACCCATCAAACTATCCTTGTCTTTAACCTTTATATCTTGAATCAAAAGTAAAAGGTGTTTCAATAATACCCATACTTTGTTACTTGACTTCGATATTCTAGATTCGAGGACATACATTTGCATTTTGACCATGTGCGAATTGCGAGAGATAACAGTGTTCACTGTAATCACGCACTTGATTTTTTTTTGTCAGTTATTTTATTTTATACTAGTGTTCAAAAACGCCTTTACACAGAGAATTAATGACACTAGCACACCAAGTATTGCTTAAAACTTAATTTGAAAAGGAATATATGCAATATTTATCGGAACATAAAGTGATTCTTTACTCACAAAGTTGTTTGTTGAAAGAGTTTTGTTAACACCAAAAACTTTATTCTGTACCATTTTAGAATTCAGAATGACTTTCTCTGGAATTAAAATTACATTTTGAAAAAAGTACATTGTACAATGACGTATGTTACTCCATCCATGATATGATCATTAAATTCAATACATAGGTCTGTTAGTGCAATGGTGGACATTTCTGCAGAAAGTTCATCAATTTGGCTTTGCGGTGATAATGCAATCCTCAGGTTGGCACACAGGGTCACTGTTTGCAGTCTGTTCCGATACTTCAACTTATATGTATGGATTGAAAATCCAGTCTCACACATCTATGTTGTGGAGAACGGCATTATAAACTTTGTTGCAGCCTGTGTGATGTCTGGATACTCATTTTCAACTTTTATCTAAAACTTTATTAACGGCTCCTGTTTAAATTAATTTACCGTGTGAATTTGGTATTCACACGGTAAATGCCAAGCTAACTCACATGCATCCGGGTTCGGTTGTTGGCACTTTCGTTTGTGGGCATCAATTTTTTTTTATCTGAAGTGATTGCGCGACCCATCAAAATTTCTTCGCGACTTAAACATTGGGTCATGACCCATAGGTTGCGGAGACCTATATTATAGGTAGAGCCCCCGATTTTGGTGGGCTTTTTCTGATTTTGTGATTAATCTTCTACCTTAGGACCTTAGGTAGGCGTAGGCCTACTTCAGCTACTCCAGCCTACCAGCTAGCTTGACTAAGGTTTTTTGCTGCGAAGCAGCCAATTCATATTCTTGACAGCAATTTGACCTCTGAAAGGTCATTGTTTGTCAAAAAAAAAAGGGCCTACATGTAAGACGACTGAAAAGCGGAGTTTCCTTCTTTCGTTCTGCTGGGTAAATTACTTTAGGCGACGTTTGTAGACTAACCTACACGTACCAACGTCCGCATGTCGCGACGCTCGAGTATTACTATTCAGCGTTTTTACTATATTTCTAGGTTTCCTATTTCTATGTTTAATCGGCCCATGTCTCAGCCACATATTTTGAGGCCAATATTATTTACGAACCCAGTTAAACTTATTTACTAGCCTATTTCAGCATGTTAATTATTACATTTAGGCGACGCTTGTTGTAGACTGGCATACACAGTACCAACGCTCGTTTCTACTATGTTTCTACGTCAGCTCGTCAGTGTTCTAATATAGACAATGGGTCGTGTCTCATATTATTTGTTATATTTTTATTATTATTATTTTCACTTGACTCGCATAAATAATTTTGTTCGAAGAACATTTATATGCAGTTGTACTTCGCAGCACTTCACTTGCAATTTACAATTTCTAGTCTAATCAATAGTTCACATGTGTGGGACACACACGAGCAGCAGGATAGGCCTAACATTCGTAACAAAGAAGAAATATAACAACATCATTGATATAATATAATGTATAATATGTATATATATGATGTTTATTCCATTTAAGGTAGACATAGGCTTAGCTAGAAAAATAGACCACAACTGGTACTACTAGCCCTACTCCAGGGGCCCAAGTTAGAAGAAGCCAATTCCGGCGACGGGGGTTGGGGGGGAGCCAGTCTTGGAGAGATGCCCCCCCCCCTTTACCCTGTTGGGGAGAAAAACCACAATTCGTCACGGAGAAATAAATTATATGTACTGTATTTTCTACATTTTAATAGAAAATTGTCAAACTTTGAGGGGCTTTTCCGATAGACCATTTCCGATATATTTTGAGCAACTCCTGTCTACACCCACTTTTCTCCCTCTGGACATCTGCAGTGATGGATTCGCAATAGGGGAAGCAGAAAGGGGCTTTCACAGATGTATGGTCTATACCACCTCAACCCAACCATGGTTGGGGCTGAGGTACGGTAAGTAAATTATGATTATTGCCGGAAATTGCTCTCTCAGACTTACTGTAAATTGTGAGTGTGGGAGGCCCTCCCGATTTCCGGGAGACTCTTGCTAGTTCCAGGAGGCTTGGGACCTGCTACTCTGTTTGGCTGTGTGAAGTGTGATGTGAAGAGTGATGTACTGGCCTAACCAAAATAGCTTAACCTTTTTAGAATAAGAATATAACATTAGTCTTTCATATAATGCTGTATTTAACTTTTAAAATGTGATTGAATGAATAAAAAATACACAAAGAAGCAAGACCGTTTCCATGAAATCTTTATTAAAGGAATATCAGTTTTATACTAGCTAGGCCTATAGCCTTGCTTTTAGGACCATAAGTCATCATCCAGAATTTCGCAAATTTTTGTGATCATTGTTTTATCGCGAAAATTAAAGGCGTGCAAACACAAAGGGCTGTACAGTATTCATAATATGATAATAATAATTCTGCTGTATTTTTTCTTGTGATGATTTCTCAATAACTAATAGCTTATTATCATTAGTCAATCAGACAAATTATCAGTTATAGTAGTTCATTCATTTTACAGCATGGTTGCATCTATGTGAAGAGGAGCAATAGGTTTGATCAACGCAATATCAGCAGATGTATGCGTCAGCTTGCAAGCTTTGAGAAACATAAAACACCTGTAAGATACATCACATATATTTACACACACACACAC